CTCGGCGGGGCTGGGACGTGGCGCTCCGCCCTGCCCGCTCGCGGGGCAGCTCTGAGGGGGGCAGCGGGGCCGGGGGTCCCCAGGGCCAACTGCATCGGCAGCGAATTGAGCCCCTGGGGGCAAAAGATCCCGTAGGCAACTGAATGGGGTTTGCTCTTGTACGTGCTTAGCTCCGATGTAGGATTGCCGGGCGTAAGAGCCCGGAGCAGCTGGGGGCCTCCTCGGGGCCCAGCCAGGCGGGTCTGGCAGGAAGGGGCCCCCGGGCGCTGTCCTGTCCCTTGTCACTTCCTGCCCCTGGGCCGGTGCATCAGGTACTGTCCGGTGTGCTGGGCGCATCTGGGTCCCATGTTTTGAACCTGTGATCTTCCTCCCTTCCCTGTTTTCTTTTTTGTTTTCTCCCAAGAAATTAATTGTTACTTTCTCAGGGGCTTCCCTTTTTAAGGGAGGTGTATGGTTTTTCTTGGTGGGCAATGGCTCATAGTCCCTTGAAAACAGCAAATAGGCCTGTCCCTTGTTGGTTCATGCCTCCGGGCAGAATTTCACTGGGAAGTGTCCACTGGCTTCTTGGACTCATTTGAGGGTCGTTGGGCACTGGCTGGTTTGCCCTGCTCACTGTCCCACCTTGGCACACTTGTACTGAGCAATGATCTCACTCCTATCCCGTTTTCTCTTCAGCTATACCCCCAAATGACTTGACCTATACCCAGTAGCCTTCCCTAATAACAGGGAGGGGCTAACCACTGTGCCGTGGGTGTTCAGTCCACATAAGCCCTATGTGTCATGGGGCTGGTATAGCCAGGTTATCTTCTGGGATCGTTCAGCCGTTTCCTGATCTGCACAAAAGAAACTAAACACTTCTTTATTGTGTTTAGAAATGTCAAGCAAAATCTCCTTGATCAGCCTATAGAGATCCTTACACATCATCCACATCATATCCCTAAAGAATGTTTGCTTTTAGCAAGTTCATTGCTTCATGCTCTACTGCCAGGAAAAAGTCTGGGTTATGTTATCAAACTGGTTAAAGCAGTTTTGCTTTATTTCTTGGATGTGCCCAGGTAAAAACAAAAAACAAAGCAAGTAAGCAAGAGTGCTTTTGGATATGTGTTGTGCCAAGTTCTGTCTGAATTTATTCTCTTTTGGATGGAAGGCAAAGAGGATAAAATGTGATTTCGTTATTTCCATCTCTTCAGTTTATTTTCTGATGGGTTGTAGTTCATATGGTTTCACTGTACATTTTTATCCTGACAAAAAACATTGCATTTGTGAAGCACCTTTAATTTCAGTGGATCCCAAAGCACCCTTTAAATGTAGGCCTCCAACTTCTGTCAGGATCTTGAGCATAGGTTTATGAAGAAATTAAATAAGGTTGTGTATTGGTTCATGGATCCAGGCTGGGATAGTACTTTAAACTAAAATGCAAACTGTCTGCAAGAACCACTGATTGAATAACTGAAACATGTATAGGACAGAGCAACATACAAACACAGGAATCAGGAATGTCTGTCTAAAGAGCAAGTTGAAGCATAACCTGTTTGTTAAGGGACAGGGGATGGATGAAGAGAAACAAGTAGATAAATGTGTTTAATAATTAACAGTTGGATTGCCTCAGTTGTGTACATGTCATGAATATCATAAAATGAACATCAAGGAATAAACTCAGTGCTGTAGCAAGGTGGGGTGACTGCCCCGGGCACCAAAATGAAGGGGCGCCAAGAGGCACTGCCCAGCCGGGGTGGGGTGCAGGATAGAGCTGCAAGCAGCTCGTCTGGGGAGGCGCAGGGATGGGAGGAGGACAGCTCCCGCCACTGCGTGCACTCCCAGGCAAGCATAGAGGGGGACGCGTGCTCCCCAGATCTGTGTGGGGCAAGGGTGGGCTGCTGCTGCAGGCTTTGCCCCAGGCACCAGACCTTGTTGCTACAGCACTGAATAAACTTATAGTTTTTTTGTGGGGCAAAAATGTGATTTCTGACCACATGTTTATCACACTTAAAGTTCAGGGAACTCATTTTATTTTTCATATTGGTGTTTTGTTGTTTGTGTGGGGAACGCTCTACAAACATTAGTCTAAAAATAAAGGTTTCTTGATGCTTTTACTGTTAAAGACAACTTTTTGAAATTTCAATTGCTGTGTTAGTACATGAGAAAGTGATCAAACTTAGTTTCATTGCATGAGTGATCACACTTAGTTTCATTGCTCAAGTTGAGGGGGATTCAGAAACTAAATAAAACAGAATTTGTAGTGAAAAGGAAACTTGATTTAAAAATTCCTTCAGTTTATAATAAACTCAGATATAACAAAGTGCGACTCATTAGAAGTTTTGTATTCATTTTGCTAAACAGAATTGTTAACTTGACAGCATCCCTTTCAATTTCATATTTCATGTACATAGCAACAAGAAGTATAAAATAGGGCTGTCAATCACACTTAATGGGTGCGATTAATGAGTTAATCGGTTCCTGCATTTTTTTTTGTATTGTGCACATGGTTTTGGAGCCTGCTTCTGGGCTCCGCTTCTCCAACTCTGGGCTGCCTAGCAGGGCAGTGGTGGCAGCACAGAGGACCGCAGGGCAGTCCAGGTGGCTGCAGCGCGTAGGGTGTGGGGGGAGGTGCACAGACAGATGCATACGAGCAGCCGCAGCCTGCATGCTGTGTGTACAGCAGTGCAGTTCTGTTGAGGGGGAGAGGCAGGGGGAGAAGGAAGGGGGGTGTGTGTGGCAGATGGAGTACCCCACTGAGGGAGGGGGTGGGATAGGAGCTGGGGTGAATGGGGTCCCATTGCCAGGGTGGGTTGTGGGCCAGAGCCACAAGAGGCTTATCCAGGGGCTCAGGGGGGCTTGGCTCCCTGCCACTGCACGCAACCGTGTGGGGGCATAGGGGGCATGTTCCCCCTGATTTGTGCGTGGGGCAGAGGCAGGGTGCCTGCTGTGGGCTGGGGCTCTGCACTCTGCTGCTTTTGCCTAGGGAGCTGCATGCTGGCCACATGTCCCCTGCCCTCCCAGCCGTGGGATGCACAACGTGGCATACTGCAGCTCCTGGGGCAAAGGCAAAAGGGCAGAGAGCCCCAATCTGCAGCGGCAGCTTGCCTCTGTCCCGTGCACAAATTGTGGGGGAGTGTGGCCCCCAGGCCTCCCCTAGGGGTACACGCAGTGGCAGGGAGACATGCCCCCTGGCACCCCTAGACAAGCCTCTTGAGGCTCTGTCCCATGACCTGCCCTGGACCTAGGGCCCCCTTCACCCCAACTCTGCCCCACGCACAAATCAGGGGGCACATGCCCCCTGTGTCTCCCCCACGGTTGTGTGCAGTGGCAGGGAGCCCCTCACCATAGAGGCCTTGATTGCCTCTCCCCCTCCACACAGCCTCCAGGTGCTGTGCATGTGTCTGTGCGTCTACCCCTCACTCCCAAGCCATAGCCCTCCTAGCCCTACTGCTGCCCCTTACTCCTGCCCCACAGTACCCTGCATCCTGCCAAGGCATGCAGGGATCCCCCCTCAGGCTCCAAGCCCCACACACACCCACAGCCCCCCACACCTTACCCCACATGCACCCCTAACCATACAAAGTCCTGCATACTTTTGCATAATTTTGAGGTTTTTTGCACATCATTTTAGTTTTTAGCTGTGTGATTAAAATCACGATTAATTGCAATTAGTTTTTTTTTTAATCGTGCAACTAATCGCAATCACATTTTTTAATTGTTTGACAGCCCTAGTATAAAATACGTTGTGTTGGCATCTAGTCAGTGACATACATCCCAGTTGGAAAGCATTTATGTTTAATGCTTTTGAAAAAAGTAACGTTCTGATACTGCTATAATTATATATCTTGAAAATATCATTTTTAATTTAAGTGGTATTATCTTCTCTTTCTCACATGCTGAATTATTTTTCATCTGCTCTTTCCATCAAAGTTTTTGCATGCTCTAAATTAGAAATGTTGTTCTTTTCTGCAGGGTTCCTCCTCATTTTTTCAGAGGCCTTTATATATGTACCTTGGGCAAACTTGTAAGTTTTGATTCCTATTAAGTTCAAATGCTTGGCTGCTTTTAGTGATAGTTTCATTATGCCAGCATCTCTTTGGTGCAATATTTGTTGCCCTGCATCTTTAGAATATATTTCCTGTATAATTTGGTGGTGTTGCCTCCCACCATTTGCTGATTGGCAGGGCTCAGGTAATACTCAACAATATCCCATGTTATTATTTCTTCCTCAGTCTAAGACCATCTGTTGCTCTCAACTGCCATAGAACTTCAGGTGCCAGTGGGCTGCTTCGCAAAGGTCCTGCTTCCCCTCCAGTGCTGTTCTTGTTCAGTCAGACTGGCTCCAGAAAAGTCTGGATAACCTAAAGGGATGCATGTTGTAAACATTCATATACATCCTCTGTTTTGTTTCCCCTTCCCATTATTTAAGGTTGCCTGCTTGGAAACAGGTCTTTTTGTTTCTTAGCAGTTAAACAGCAGGAACAGGAGCAGATGATTTCCCATGTGAAGTAGGAATCTTTAAGGGACTCAGTCATTTCCACGGCACAGAGGATTGTGACTTCAAATTAGGGGATAAGCAAAAGGAATAGGTGGATACCTGAGAAACAAAAATCTTGTTTCCATGGAAATGTCTCGATGATAAAACAAGAAAAAAAATGGAAATCCTGTGAAATTTTTTTCCATGAAGTCATAACTAATACTTTCTTTTTTTTTTTTGTTTCTTTAATGCTCCTGACGTGAGGTGGGATTTGAAGAATAGGTCTAAACAGTGGACTTGGCAAACTTGCATTAGCAATTGCATACGCTGCACTCTTCTTCACAACTTTTTGTTTGCTAAAACCTGGAAGTGATCTGGTGTGGGGTGTATCTGGGGGTGCATCTGGTGTGCTTAATCTATTTCTTTCATCTGAACCCTGAATCAGACACAGAATGGACCTGTCTGCTGTCTGCTTGAAGTTTCATCGTGCAGGCTGAAGTGGTTGCAGCTGTCTTAGAACTTGTTTGAACAAAATCTCTTTCCATCCTTGGTTTGGGAGGTCTTGCAGATCGAAGCCATAGGAATCAAGTTGTTACGTGCTTTCTATGCTCTGGCTATCGTATCGGGTCTCATGTGCATTTGAAATGTAGAAGAGTCTATTACAAACTAGGTTAGATTAAAAAAGACTGTATGTCCCAGTGACAGACAACAGACAAATGTGGGAAAGAGACTGACTTGCAAAGTGTAGAATCATAAGCATCCTTGTTTTTTGTCATGTAGAATCATAAGCATGCTTGGTTTTGTTAATTTTAAACTGATTAATTGCTATGCACTCATCCAAGCCAAAGGAAGGTAGTTAGGAGAAACCTGAAGAGGGTTCAGATTTTGGATCAGGAAGACCTAAGAGAAGCATGAGAAGAAGAGATGAAGAGAAACTGATATGGTTCAATTTAGGGCTCATACAAGGTGACAGTAGATGCTGGCAAGGACCAGAACTATGCATACTGTTTTTTAAATCTACTTTATCTTATATAACTAAATTTGCTTTATGAAAAGGATGAAAGCCAGGAGGGAGGTCCTTATCTGAAAATTATGTTCTTGGTTCTTCATGTTCCCCAAACTCTTCCTCCAGAATATTAAGTGAAATTGCAAGACAGTTCTGTATAAACTGTAAACCTGATTGGTTTAGTTCATATCTTTTTATTCTAGGTATTACATAGGACTTTCACTACTGTCTTTCATCTTTAGTGATTGACTTTTTCATTCAATTATATCTAGTCCTATTGGCTTCTGCTTCATTCGTCATAGCGCTTTGATTTGTGATTTTTTTTCTAGTCATTGGATATTAAGGATTCAAGGATTTATCTGAGGTTAGTGTCTATGGAGACTAGTTATTTAGATAGTGGGGTATTTATAAATATCCAGGTTTCAGCATCCAGCAGTGAGACTGCCTTTGCTTTGGTATTGAACTCTATAAATGTAATCTGTTTTTCCAGGCTGCCTAAAGGGTTACATAGGTATGTCTTGTTTTTGCTTTTCTGTCTTTACTATCTTGGTCTGTTTTATCTGTTTTACTTGGGATACTCCCAAGATAAGTGGCATGTCAAATGCCTGCGTAAAGAATTGTTATTGTTGGTTTTTGCTGTGTTGTGACCCATGTTAGTTTTATTCACTGTTAATTTTTTTTAGTCTCACTAACAGTGCGTACATCTGGAGGTGATACCTCTGTCCTGTAACATTAATTTATAGTTGGTCATTTAGTGTATCTTGCTGAGAGAGTTAATATTTAATTGTGCAAAATATTCTGATAAAAGGATGCGTGAGAATGCTGAAAACTGTCTTTAATTTGTTGTTTGGATGTTGGTTGCGTTTCCATCTATCTTAAGCTCAAGTGTGCTTTTTATTTTATATAAGCACAGCAAGCTGCTTTGCTGATGAGATTAAACAAAACTGGTTTGAGAAATGCTAAGAGTCAGCAGTGCTGAGAGGCAGTGTCCATTAAGGCACTGAAGCTGCGAACACTGAGCTGCTCTTCTGGGACACAATGGAAAATGATGTAACTGAGTGAAAAAGATCTGTAGAAAAAATCTCTTTCCTCACTTGCTCTCTTCTGGTGTCATTGATGCAATACTTTCGTTGGTCTTAAGCATGATGTTCCTTGGTCCAGCAGTGGGATTGTTATTGTATGAAAAGATCTGTCTGTGATAGCGGGTAGGGAGACTGTGGTCTTGTTCTGCAGCTTTGTGGTTCTGCTTCAGCGTTGCTACAAGGGCAGGAAGCCAAGGTGGTTTTTAGTGCTCCAGTGGTAAGTTTTGCAAAGTCAGTAGTTCATGAAAGATTCTGAATGCCTGAGTGCTTCAGTGCTGTTCACTTGTGAGAGATTTGGGTAGTCAGTTCTTCTTTCTTTGCGCATGTTTATTGAGGCGGTTAGAGCATGTTCAGCAATGTGGGATCAGAGTTTTATATTTTCTTATGGATGGTGCAGTGGACTAAGATTTACATTTTTCTGTCTTGATTAGTTATAGCAGATTCAGCTAGCATAGCAACTCTTCTTGGTGCTTTGGATTAAAAAACCAGGCTGGACTTCCGGTATTTTTCTGACACAGCAAAGACTGTGTCTTTTCTATCCTGAAATGTAAATGCTTCATACACATAGGGTCATAGGACTTTCTAGGTGATTTGGATTTTCCATGATTTTTAAATGAAGTTCAGGTTCCTTGTTACTGTTTTAGTAAAAGGAAATAGGAGAATGATGGCTTCTGAGTAGAAAGACATGGCTTATTAACATCAGCTGGAAACTTGTGAACTGCTTTCCTAGGAAGTTTAGTCCTTAGTGCCTTAACTGCTAGAAATGTTCCCTGATCACTCCCACCTCCTGCCATGGCAGCAATGAGAGGTTCACTGCTCTGTCCACCTTCTGTTTCCATATTCCTGGTGATTTGAGCTAATGGACAGCTCTGAACTTAACATTTCTTTGTTTTAATGAGTGACCAGTTGATTCAAGCTGAGGTTTCTTAGTTCATTTTTCTTGTAAACTTCACTGAAGGCGAGAAAAGACTGGTAACTTGCTCTTCTGACCTGTTTCTTTATTAAACCATTTTTTGCGGGCTGTAACAGACAATTGCGTCTCACGTCAAAGTTTTGGAAAGTTCTCAAAATTTCTGAAGTTCTTGACATGTATTTGTTGTGCCACTATCATTATATGGTGTTTTCTAGAAAGTGGGTGCAGGAGATCTGTTTTCATTTTCACCATAGGGTCTCATCAGTCAGTGCATCCAGGACTTTGAAATATAGGTCACATCAGCAGCCAATGTACCACAGACATTCCAAGCCAATTCACTTCTAAAAAAAGACCCCATTGAGGGAATCAACCTTAGGATCTGTATAGTCCTGTGGGAAGTCACCTTAATATTTTTTCTTCCTTCCAGTCTGGAACAGGACAAGAATGAGACAGCATGATGCAAATGGAACTTTTCTTTCTTTCTGTCCTCTGGTAGGATTCCAGTTGGAAGATTTTCTTGACTTTGGATCTGGTTAACTCCTGAGAATGGCAAGTAAAGGGCCCACAGCTTCCACATCCACTGAGAACTCCAGTACTGGAGGCACGAGTGGCAGCAGCAGTAGTAATGGTGCTGGGGACAATACTAACCAGGACAGCACTTTTGAATGCAACATCTGTTTAGACACTGCCAAGGATGCAGTTATTAGCCTGTGTGGACACCTCTTCTGGTAAGTATTCAGCTCTTGTAAGACTAGGCAAGAGTAAACTCATTTTTAATCATCCAGAAGTCTAACATATAGCAAGACCAAACATGAAATGAGAGTCTTGCACTGGCATCATAATGTGAATGAGACTACAACTTTGAATTGTCATCAACAGAAACTTGCTACTTTGCCATTCAGTCCTCAAATATATTTTTGTTTTATATATGCAGTTATTTTAACTTGGTGATAATCTCCTTATGTTTTGTTTTGTGCTATCCCTGGAGATTATCGTGTTAAAATGGAATTGTTCAGCCCTGATTGATATGCTTTTCTAAATTGTATTATTCTCATTTCTGTTTTGTAGTCTGGCATAGACATGCTGGTTGAGGCTATATTTTTTCCCTAATATACATATACTTGGGTCTATTTTGCATCTTGTCCTTGATTCTGTTTGGAATTATATACTTTGAATTTTAAACTCCCAGGCAGATTCCATGGTCATCAGAGGTTTCCCTTGTCTGCTAGATCCGGCAAAAACATTGTATAGAGACTGCTGTTTAGAGCAGCTGATTGCATCTTGATTGGCCATCTTATCTTATGGCCTATTTTGTTTGGCTTTGACTCTTTCTTTTAAAGTTGGCACAAGAACTTAGATTTAAGTAAAGACTCCTATTAGGGAGAAGTGCACACATTTGGAATTAACAGCATGCAACTAGTATGCTGTATTATAATGTAGATTTCTCCCCATTCCTACCCTCTGCCCCCATTATTTTACTCAAATGCCCTATCTCTGACTTGTAAACATCATATAATTGGCAACCTTTACTTGGGATACATTGTCATGAGATTGAAGAGGAGAATCTGTGTAGGAACCCTAAGAAGATGAATTCAAGTTCCTGCATATGCCTTCTGTACTAGTGTGTAAGGCTGCAGGACTCTTGGATGATGACATTATGAATAAGTAGAAATTACATCATGGCAACTTAGTGTCAAACTTTGTAATTTGGGTGGACCAGAGATCATCAGATTTTGATTACACTTATAAAAGTTATCCTAATGCAAGGTTATGGAACTGTCACTGCTGGATTCCAGCCTTCTGTTGTCTCTATGCTCTATGATCCTTGGTATAGTTTGTACATTTGCCAAATCTAGGTGTTAGTTATTGAATGCATTTTTTTTCCTCTCTCCCTTTCTATCCTGTGACCAATCATCTTGGGAATGCCAACAGTTGGCCTTGTTTACACCAGGTAAGACCAGTTTCCCTTTACCTTGTCTTTCATCAGCTCCTCTTACACAATAAACCCCTCAGGCTCCCCAGGGTATTTTGTCAGAAGCTGCAATACCCCCTTCTCTTCCCAAACATACTTCCTTCTTTTCAGGGCAACTAGATTGTGCTTGTAAATCTTCACCTGAAATAATTCATATTCTGCTCTTCTAGAGGAAGTTTTTAGATTAAAAAGACCTTCTTTCAGTGTTGTAATCACTTGAACATCTCAGTTCTGCTAGGCGAGTTTGTGTGAGAGACCTGTGTGTGGAAGGGAGGGACAGGGAAGTGTGTGGATAAAGGCTGGAGGCACTTCTGCTCTCACATGTACTGTCACACCCTTGCTTTAATTTTATAGAATCACAGAAACAAGAGCGAAGACCAGATCTATCAGATTTTCAGGCCAGTCCTGAGCCATGTCAGGGTTATTCCTATAGTATATGTATCAATGCTTTCTCCAGTGTATGTAGGAGTGTGAATTTCAGCAGATGCATCAAAACACTGCAATATACTAAACTAAAGCAAGTGTTCTTCACAGCTCAGTTGCTTTGGTGCTTCTAAGTAGACAGTCTGGCATTTGGCTTTCTGAATTAATTGTGGAATTCTCTTTAGCTGACTCTTGTGTAAACTACCTTACTGTGTACCTCTGTTAGAAACTCTTGTACATTGTTATTGTTCCATTGTTCTCCTGATGCCTGTTAATTTTTTCTTTTTCAGTGGTTAGAAACCAGGCCAAATAGGCAGGTGTGTCCAGTTTGTAAAGCAGGAATCAGTCGAGATAAAGTTATTCCGTTGTATGGCAGGGGAAGTACGGGACAACAGGATCCAAGGTAAGATACTTAAATTCAGCCTTTCCTTTGTGGAAACCATAAGTGTGAAAGTGAAACACTGTCAAATTATTGTATGTATGACATGTGAGATGGGATATGTTCAAAGCTGAGAGGAGGTGGCAGCTGCTGGATATGTGCTGGCCCTCTTAGGTCCTGGATTCCCACACCTTGTTTCCTGTTTAGCTGTGGCAATCCTATTTTAATTTAAATTGAACACTATTTAGTGGCCAAGATGATATATTATGCAGAAAATTATCTGACTAGAGCATCCAGTCAGCACACTGATGGGACTTACCACCATTCTCAATGTCTCTTTTTGTGAAGTTTTAAAAAGGATGTTGCTACACAGAAATACAGATTCTTTGTTTATAGATGTGGTGCTGGAGATTTAGGTAATTGGTGAGCTTGCTGGCTCCTACTTGTAAGTGTCTGCCCATATCTGTGCTGCAGCAATGCAGTGGTCCCTGAATATCTGTGAAAGGTAGGACAGTATTTGTTCTGTCCTATGAAAGCAAATGTTACACCAGATTTCACTGTACTTACCTGAATCTGTCTCCTCTAGAGAGAAAACTCCACCACGACCCCAGGGACAGAGACCTGAACCAGAGAACAGAGGGGTAGGTGAAACATAAGCTGAAATGGAAGGACTTGAGGTGGAGGGGGTTGGGGGTGTTGTGTATCTAAAAGCTGCTGTACAGATCCCAGTTTGTCCTCTATGTTGGCCATTGTAGGTCTCTTGGTGCCCAACATTATGTTATGGTTGCATCTGTTCCTCAGTATTCTAGAGCAATGGTGGCCAACATTTTGGCCTCACCGGGTGGGTGAGTAGTACTAGGTTGGTGCATGGGCCTGATCCAGTGTGTAGTGCTGACCCAAGTATGGCCTGATACTGTTGCACAGGGCTTGGGAATTTTGCAGCAGGGCAGTGGTTGAAGTATTACTTGCCACCATTGCTCTGCCACCAATTTTCTGGACTTGAGGGTAGCCCTGTGGGCTGGATCTTGCCCAAGGGCTGGGGCTTCAGCCCCATGTTCTGAAACAGAAGCTAACTTCAATCACACTTCACAGTTCAACTGCAGAGTGTAGCATTGCTGGAAATGCTGTTCTTTACCGTGAGATTATGCTCTGTAGACAAAATACATATTGCCTTGTTTTACAAAGTAGCCTTAAAAATCTCCTGTCTTGCCAAATGAGACCTGTCCTGAAAATGTACACCCATGCATGGAGTGTGTGTGCCATGCTGCAGTGGTTTCCACCTCTTCAGAATCCTTTTTATAAAATATCCTTGTACGTGCATATGTACACATCCCAGATATGGATATGTCAGATAGGTGCTGGTTTGGTGTGGGATGCAGTGGGCCCAGGCATGTAAATACAGAGCCTACTATTTATATTCATTGTATGGTAAACAGACATGTGGGAGCAGCTACCAGTTTAGACCACAATGTTTCCTAGCACAGTGAGAGGTGAGGTGAGTGTGACCTGATGAAACAATTGCATAGTTCCATGTAATTCAGGTTGGAACCCTCAGAGAACACTCATGTACCTCATTGCTTCAAACAAACAACCCTGCTGGGTATGATTAAGGAACATTTCTGCATTGAATAGATGGAAGCTCAGTTGTTCTCTCTCTCTGGAGAATTATGTTCTTATTAAATCAGCTGCTGTGTCTTGGTTGAACCTTTTAGCAGGTGCTGCCACTAGTTAGTGGAATCTGGCATTAAAGGCATTGCAGCAGTGGACCTGCCTTCCTGGTTTCAGGGACTGCCATGCAAGGGGAACTGCTGCAGCCTTCTTTTATAGGAACATAATGGCAAGGCACTTGAGAACAAAGTAAAGTGACTCTGTAATCAGCAAATTAAGGAATGAGTCTGGGTCTAAAAGTTACATCAGTGGGATCAGTTCTGTTCCATAATGTCTCCTAGCTGGAGGGTGAAAAACTAGACTATTGTTCAGATATTATACCATTCAGCTAATTCTAAGACAAAAAATTTAATGTGGTAGAGTAGTGAAGTTCAGGATGACCAAGTTCTCATGCAGTTATTACTTACTGTGGTAATCTTGCTAATATTTTATGTGTTGGATCCTAAGCAGAACATCACTTCAAGGACTGGGATGTTTCTTGATTCCCAAGTTTCATTTTTCTACTTGGCCGCACCCTGCAGTTTTTCTCTTACTCTGTGTGGTCAAATCAGTAATGCTGCATTATAGCTCTTACCTTCCTCCTCCTCCTTTACTGTTCTGGCTTCCTGCATCACATTAAGTTACATGCAACTAGCTTCTCAGTGTAGGGACTGAGGATGTTGGCTGTAAAGCTCTGTGTCTACCTATGGTTCTATATGCGTATACTTAATATTATTGAACTGAGAGTACACAAATACTGGGATCAAATAGTATTGAGTTATATTTCCATATTGTCTTTGTTTCAGATACATAGATATAGAAAATCAACCCAGAATTAAAGCTTTAAAAACCCAGCAGTGATATCCAGTGACATAAATGATGACATTGTCAGATAGCTAGTGTTTTTTAAGTTATGAGTTGGAAAAATAATTAGCATTGGGTCATCTGCAGGCTCAAAAATAAGCTGCACTTCCTATCATTCTCCCAAGCTGTTATGTTGTTATGCTGTGGTTTGTTACTGTGTGATGCTTTTCCTGAAGAGAAGGGAGCCCATGGAGCTGTTTGACAACATAGGCACAAATGATAAACTGTCCAGTAGTTTACTTCTCATTTAGCATAAGAAAGCCCAAAGCAGGAAAATACTTATCATGGATTGTACAGCTTATTCTGACTCGGAAGTTTAAATGACAGTTAATGGATTTTTTTTTTTTTTTCCTTTTCCGCAGGGATTTCAAGGCTTTGGGTTTGGGGATGGTGGCTTCCAGATGTCATTTGGAATTGGGGCATTTCCCTTTGGTATATTTGCCACAGCTTTCAACATAAATGATGGGCGGCCTCCTCCAGGTACTGTGCATTCCATCTTCTGGAAAAATCCACAGGAGAATAAACATTTACAGATTATTTGGTAACTTTTAAACACAGAACCTGTTAAAATAACAAGCTCTCCATGCTGAAGAATCAGCTAGTGTTGTAGAACGTTATCGGAAAATGCTGTTTTGAACATGTAGCCTTAGCTTGCTATCATTGAAAGAATGAATCACAAAGAGAGAACATTCTTTGTGCCTTTTTCTGTTCCATTATAATGCTTATGTTAGGAAAACATAGCCTTTTGTTTTTAAAAGGTGTTTTTCTAGGGGTTTTATGTTAGAGATAACATCTTGCTGAACTGTATTTTGCTGAAGGACCCTTTGGAGGTTTATACAGTCAGAGGGGGGATAGGTACAATACAGGTTCCTTTCCCTTGAGCAAGGAGGAAAGTCCCTTCAGTGAGAACTTTAATTCTAATTAGAGGTGCACTGATACATCAGTCCATATCATACTGGCACTGATAAAAGGCAAATTGACATTATCGGCAGTCGGCTTTTTTGGCTGATGTGGCTGATAAATGTTGCGTGCGTGGGCACAGCCACAGCATGCATACGGCTGGGAGCGCAGCCCGGCAGCTTGGAGACCAGTGTCCAGCTGGTAAGTCTGGGGGGAAGGGGCAGGGCAGGGAGCAGATCGAGGCCCCCATGGTGAGGGAAAAAATGGGGCTAGGGCAGGGGCAGGCACTGCCCAGCTGGGGTGTGGCAGAGTGTGGGACTGAGCCACGAGTGGCTCATCTGGGGAGCGCAGGGAGGGTGGGGGAGCTCCCACTGCTGCACACGCCCCTGGGGAGGCATGAAGGGCTGCTGCTGCGGGCTGGGGCCGGGTCTGGCTCTTCCTGGCAGGGGGCTGAGTCGGGGCTGCACTCAGGGCGGGTGGTGGCATTGGGAGTGGTGGCTACAAGGGGGCTGCAGCGAATTTTGTGGTGGCTGTAGGCCATCCGTAGCCGCCCCCACCTCCTAGTGCCACCACCCACCCCAAGGGCAGCCCTGGCCCAGCCCCCCACTGGGAAGAGGCTAGCACTGCTCCTGGCCCGAGCCTGCAGTGGCAACCCGCTGTTGCCCTGCACACAACTGGGGGGCACACTTAACCAGGGGGCATGTGCCCCCTATGCCTCCTCAGGGGGGTGTGCGCAGTGGTGGGAGCTGCTCACAAATCTGTCTTGCCCTGGCTGGGCAGCCCCTGCTCCATCCCCACTCCCTCCCTTACTATGTGGGCTTCAATCTGCCCTCCCTTTTCCTTCCCCCCTGCCCTCCCCTGCAACAAACTTATCAGCCAGATGCTGTTCTTCAAGCTTCTGGACTGCATATCAACAATTGGATTGGTATCAGGCGATTATGGCTCGTTATTCTTTGGCCCAGTACCTATGGCCAATTATTCTTTATCAGTGCACCCCTAATTCTAATACTCCTAAGAGTCCTTCTAGGAAGCCAAGGAAATTAAGACATGGATTTCTAACATTAAAACAGAGAGAAGGAGGATCAGATTTTGACAGGAGAAGAGTTCTTTGTTTAAAAAAGAGAGAGAGAGAGAGAGAGAGAGAGAGAGTGAGCCCCCCAAAACCTTGTTGTAGTGTTCCTATAACAGAAAGAAGCATATAGGACAGGAACGCTGCTTTCATTGCTTTGCAGTGTGCTCTCCTGATGATCACTTGTATGCTGCATGAAGTAGCTTTATTGTGAATTAATGTAACTGCTCTTAACTGAGTAAAACCAGTTAGGTTACTTTAATATAGTAGCCTCATTCTGAGGGATTACCAAACAGCCTGTAGACAGAAACTCCTATTTCTGCACTGTAATCAAAATGAGTCAACCTGTTTTGTGCCACACATCTAGTACCCAAGGTTTTCCTCAAATTGACTGCTCTATTAGGTTATGTTGCCTGATTCTGCTTCCTTACGTTACTTCATGGAAAAAGCATAAGTGGATTCTTGAGTTCATGAAAACACTGCCAAGATGTATGCCCCTAGTTAAATGAAGTTGCCTATTAGTTGTATTATACACTTGCATAAGGGTGTGATTAGAGTTAGGGAATGTGTAGATGTATGCTAGTTCAGGATAAATGATTGCCAGTCTTTTTTCCAACCCTGCTTTTTGTCTGCTGACATGATATAGTGCAGGGGTGTCCAACCTTTTTGATTGTGGGGCCAGAGCACAAACTTTTTATCACCCAGTGGGCCGGCGAGCCATATTCAGAGACCTCACAGGAAGTGGTATCACATCAGGAAGTGATGTCACATGACCTTTGACACCAATGAAGTTGGGCTGGGGTGGAGAGTAGGGTGCTGGCCAGGCTGGAGATGCTGCATGTGCTCTGGGTGCCCTGCTCTGACTCATGGCTCTGGCCCCATTATGGCACCTGCTGCTGTATCCTGGCTGTGTGCTGCTGGGCTAAGTCAAAGTCAGCATTGCAGCCCCATGTGGAGAGCCCAGTCTGGCCTGGCCACATCCTGTCCTAAGCAGAGAGGGGAGTGTGAGGCTGGGGCTGGCTGTCCCTGCCCAGCGAGGGACTCATGGCCAGGATGCAGCTGCAGATGTCAGGATGGGGACAGGGACAGGGCCAGAGGTGTGAGTCAGACAGAACCCATGCAGAGCCCCCAGTCTGGCCAGTGCCCCAGTCTGCAGCCCTGGCTGTGGTGAGAAAGGCACTGTGCTCCTGGCAGCTGTTCTGGCTCTGCTCACTGCCACACACTTCAGCATGCATGCATGTGTGTATGTGCACATATGTGTGCCCTCCCTTGTATCTCTCCATCCGGGATGTCCCGGTCTGAGGGACAAATGCAGCCTCTGGGCCGGGCTCTTCCTGCCTCCCGCCCAGCCTGGCTCCGGCAACCATGCATTTCGAAGCCCTGGCCTGGCCCCAAGGCACCCCCAGCTCTGTGCGGAAACTTACCGCTTGCCTCCGTCTGCCCCGGCCCCGAGGCGCCCCCAGCTTCGCGCGGGAACTTAGCTTGTGCATCCGTCCACCATGCATGTGGGCAGGGCGCGGGCTATGCTGCAGCTCCCCTGCCACGCACGGGGGAAAGGGGCGGAGCCAGAGAACAAGCTGCATGTGCTGTCCCCAGCTCGTCTAATCAGGCGCGGCTGGGGCAGCCCTGCGCCATGCAGCCCTTGGGGCAGTGGCAGCAGGACCTGGCTCACCAAGCCTGGCCCTGCGGGGGTAAGCAGCTCCCCTCCCCTCACTGCCGGCTGGGGCCCATGGGCCCGCCCTGCCTGCCTCACCTTGCTGCTGCCCCGCTGTGGCGGCGGCTCTGTGCTCCGCAGTGGTGGCAGTGCCTCGGGCCAGATAAAATGGCTTGGTGGGCCGCATATTGGACAAGCCTGATATAGTGGTTTCATTGGGATGCACACAGAATGTTGAGCTCACTCAGGTTTCCCACTCATTCTGTTGGCATAAAGGACATGCTTTAGCTTTGTGTCTGTCATCACTTGTTTGTTCAAAACTAATTTCTCCTTGTGAGGGGGGAAGAACTGAGGGGCAGGCTGAAAAACTATTCCATAGAATGGAAACACTTGGCTGAAACTTGCATCAGCGCTGTCCACAATAATACTCTGAACAGACTTACAGGGTGAGCTCTCCACTTCTGTAGGGTCATGTCAAGGCCTGTCGGCAGTCTTGATTTGTGAAGCTGATGCTCACTGGCTTTCCAGACTTCTGCTGAGATAAAGTCAGTCCAAGTGTGAGATTTCTTATACGAGGGAAACCTTGGTAGCATTAAATGATCAACTGGTAGGTTCTGTGCACCTCCATTAAAGGAGAGATTTGCTATATGTGGCCTGGACTGTACATTGAAGAAAAGGAAAGAACTGAATTGTTTTATTTCCTGTTTTCCAGCTGTTCCAGGGACTCCTCAATATGTGGATGAACAGTTCCTCTCCCGCCTCTTCCTGTTTGTGGCACTGGTGATAATGTTCTGGCTGTTGATTGCATAACTGTGCTCTGTATCTTGTGTATTCAGGGTCAGCAGAGCCTCTGAACCAGTTACAAACTGCCCCATCCCATTTTAAACCTCTTGGTGTCTGGTTCCATATCTAATCACGGGTTCCAGGGATCAATGGTGCCACAGTGCAATGAGGAATCTCACATTTTCCACCAGAGCCTTGGAATTAAATAACGGTTAAAAAACGTGTCTCAGCTCAGCCGTCTCATACAACAGGTATCCAGCTACAACCATGGGCCTAGCTTTAAGCATCACTTTGAAAAGAGTGCTGCTTTGAAACCCTGTGCCAATCAGCTAGGAGAGGTT